AATTTCCTACTAAAAAGTAAAATATCATCTACACTGTATCTTCACTTTAAAAATGATTCATARTAGTTTGATGTTAGTCGAAAAATTAGATGGCAACCTAATCAGCCACCCAAAAAATTAAGTATCTAATTTATGTGGTCCCCTAGACTCCCTTGCTAGCAAGCAGCAAAAGATGCTGTGAAAGAGCAGCTCAGCCAGTTGCACTAAACACAGCACAATTTTCCTGCTACCAGTTGTYATAGGTAGAAAAAGCCTGAACTACTAGTTTATACCTGCTACATTTTTTTTTTTAATAACATTTACACTAAAGCTTCCCTTACTAAAAAATAAATGCATTCTGAAGATTGGGTTTGGTTTCTATTACCTATACAGATCTCAGGCCAAAATCTGTAAAGRCCTGGATCAAAATGCTCAGTGTCCCCAAAGCGTTTTAATGCAGAAAGATCTGACAAGTCAGTCTCACCTCTGCCAGATTCCTGCAGCTCTGAGCAAAGGCTGACATTCTGCTGAGTGCTCAGGACAGCAGCATTTGATGCTTGCAGACAGTCAGGAGGCTCCTGAAAGCCCCAGCCTAGCTAGGTTTTTGGAGGGGCAGCAAGAACACATCAGACCCACCCTTCCAGCAGAGACCAGACATTAAAGCCAAATCTCTAGTGAGGAGGATTTCTAAACCAAAGGCATTTCTGGACGAGGAAAAACTCAAGCTATAGATGTTGGAAAGAAGGCAAAGAGATAATACAAGAAATACCCAAGAGATAATATACATGTTTGCTGTCTCTTCTGTTCTTCCTACAGGGTCCATTTTTGGCCACACTAGGCTCGAACGATCTTTGGAGCTGTCCAAGAAGACGTCGCCTACCTTCTTGTCACTTGACTTCTGACCACTTTCCCCTTGTTACTTTTTTTTCCCCCAAAAAAATTTCCTTTTTACCCTGCTGTACCTCTGACCTGTTTCTTTATCCATTYCACAGTTATGTGGAATCACAGTTTCAAATCCATCTGCAGACTTAAAGACAAATGCATGGCTATTTATTCCAATAGTATTTTTTTCAAAAGACCAGAATAATTATGAACTCTTTTAAAAAAACACATTTTGTGCATTTGTGCACATTACCTAGACTACAAACACACAGCAGGCAAGCAAACAGGCTGTGAATCATGTATTTTATTTTCTATCTTTGCTCTACAGAAGAAACCTCCCCAGACAGCAGGAACACAGAGGAGCAAATATTTGCTACCACTTCAGTAACAAAATTGCACAAGTCAGAGTGCACAAGCCCTGCAAAATAGGGACAATCAAAAATGGGAGGCAGAGGACAATATGTATTTGACAAAGGGAAAAAAATAAAGCAAAAATATGATATGCCATCCAGAGTGCAAGACCTGAGAGAGGGGACAGAGGAAAAAAAATGTTCAGGAGTCTTACGCCCTCTCCTCCCTTGCACAAAATTAACTCCCCACGTAAATTTTCAGGGAGTCCACACATCAAAAAGGAGGATTATTCAGCAAGCATGCAGTTCATGCAGAACATCCTAATGGAGGAATGATCAGCTGCAAATGGATGCTGGAAGAGCCAGAATCAGCCTATTTCACAGACTGAGAGAACACCCACCCAACCAAACACGGAATGCAAAGCCAGAGCTACCATGGACAAGCAGCTTCAAAATATCGACCTGGTTACATATGATTAAGAATGCATCTCATCAAAAATTAAGACTTATTTCTTTATAAAGTAAATCTGCTGGATTTGTTTTGCTCTTTAGGTCTACAGCTGTGTTTTTATTATAGCATTACTCTCCTTATATTATTTGTAAGGGTTGGCTATGCTCATAGTTTTAAACAGTCTTTATGGCCAAAAAAAAAAAAAAGTTTTAATGCTAGATTTATTCTAAGTGCAAAATTATTCTCTTTCCTCCCTCTCTGAGAATCTTGGTAACAATCTGGACAGTAACTCCCATCTGTGTCATACTGCTATGGCATATTAATATACTAAATCATTCTTAATACAGTGTTTAGACCTTGACCTCTGTAGGCTTTTAAATAGGAAACAGCAATTTGTTTCCAAATAAGTATTTGATAGGCACAGGCTGCCACCTAGTGATTTTGACTATCTGCAAAACTGAAAATAAAGTCTTGCAGGGGAGGAAAGCAGYGACCCCTTCACATTTTATATCACACACAACAGCGACCTCATCTACTGCCTGCGTCCCCCATTACGGGCAATGGGGGGGATGGAGAAAGATGGAGAAAGAAGAGTCCACCTGTGATGCTACCTGTAACCACACAGGTAAGAAGCACAGGGCTCCTCGATCACCCATCGTGCCTGGGACTCCTCCTTCCTCGCACAGATGCTGCTCTTTGCACTGCAGCACCAAGGGGCCTTGTCCCCAGGCCAGCTGTGACRGGCAGCCTCCCTCCTCTCCTCCTCGGCCTTCTCCCTGGCGTTACTGACACCACGTTGGGGCTCACATAGACCTAAACCTTGCAATTTGCAAGACAAGCACAAATCTGAGGAAGATTTCAAATAACAGATCGGTAAGACAAAATTTGCTTTAAGTAGGAACACAGCAAGCACTTGTCAGATTTCTCCTTTTCCAGCCARCATGCCTGCTCTGGCAAATCCAATCTTTGCAGTGCTCTAAACGCACTGAAGAGATAGCTTTCCTATTCAATCAATTTGAACTCCCCAGCAGCTCATGCATCCATTTTATTTTCCAGTAATTTGAAACTCGCCTTATTTTTTCCAAGAGGTCAGCAGCATTTCTGACCAAACTACAGTACTAGCCTTCATTGGCCCTTGTTGAATTTTCACATAAGTACTTCGACATAAGGACTTCTCATGATTTTCCCCACGCTTTAAAGGAGTTCTTTTCAAATATTTTCAGTCACATCTTATTATCCTAAAAAGAAAAAAAAAAAAAAGCCGAACTAGAAATCTTTGCTGTTTATCAGAAAATCAGCTTCCAACCATGATGTTGATGTGTAACGACTGCCACTCATCATATTGACAAACATAGTTTGTAGAGATATTCCTTCGTGTTCCTGCAACAGTACCCGTCTCAAAGATCTTGGGGCCAAGATGGGGCCACGACCAAGTACTGGCACTTATGAATACAAACACAGTAAAATGCTATTACAAGAATGCAATAATGTATTTCCTTCATTCCAACAGGATAAGTCTTTCTTGCTTTAAAAAATAAATAAAAAGAAGAAATACACTCAAAGCAAAAACACACAATACACACAAAGTTTGGGGGGAGGGGGTTGCTGTTTTTTTTTTTAATCTTTTAAGCTGGAGATGTTCACTAAGAAGCCAAAAAAAAAAAAAAAAAAAAAAAAAAAAAAAAAAAAAAAAAAAAAAAAAAATTGCTTAAAANTTGCTTAAAATGCTCCTGTTGCTTATTCCCCAAATTAAGTCTTCTGCTGCTCATTTTCAGAGCAAAAACTGTTGTCTTGGAGATCTCATTTTGGCAAAGTCAAAAAGAGTTAATATACTATACCAAAGACAAGAAGCCTAATTCACCTCTAACATGCAGAACGAAGACGATCATTCCACTTACTTGAACTATTTTAACACTAATGTAAGCCACTGASGGAGAAAATATCCTCATAATAATTGAAGCCAAGAAAGGAGAATATAAAATACAGTTATACTTCTAAAACTTCTTGAGCTCACAATTCTCTKCCTTCCATTTTTCAGCCCCATTTTTTTATTTTTTGACCTCTATAGAGCCCAGAAGAGATTACTGAAATACAAGTATCAGCTGCAAGTGGCCCCCATCATCCCTTCTATGCCCTGAAGCAGCCAAGTTGATGTCACCTAACATTTCATAATCTTTTTGTTCTATACTTTTTCTTTTARGGGCAGAGATAGCAAACACCAGACTAAAACCCACCGGGGTAGTGCAACCACCACCAGTTAACAAGATCTCACCAGGYGCTATGTGTTAGCAAGCATGCAGCACATGAAACACTGATCTTTTAAAAAAAAAATCCAATAACAGTACTTCCTGCAAGGAAATGAGGAGTTCAAGAAATCACAAGGGGATAACCAAAGGAGAAATACTAATTCTAAGAAGTGTAATTTCAAAAAAAAAAAATCTTCCAGATTTGTCAGAGGTCACTGAATAGGTGCTTAGACTTACCCATCAGTAACTGTGAATATTCTTTCATTTGCTTTCAGACTGCAGGTTGTTACACGAACAAAGCCTCTCTCTCCCATCAACTTTCTTACAAGCCTTGATATTCCACTACAGGAGGCTCCCYTCCTCCTCCTCCTCCATCAAAACCAACTGAACTTTTCCTAAATCAAACTCTATGTAAGGATGAATTTAAAGCATGGACTCTGCAAGAAACCATCAACGGCTCCTGCAAGTTTATACTTTTCCACTGAGCTCCCTTCAAGTGTCTGAAGTCCGAGACGATTAAGTACTACCCCTTTTTTCATGCACTTTTGCTTTTTTAATCTAGATGGATAATAAAAAATAGCTCCTGTTCAACTTCTATGAAACTTTGAGACAAAAGTTATAACATTTTTCTAGATCTCTTTACATTAGTCCATCAAGTAAGTAAACCCTTCATGTTCTAGCTGAACAGACAAAGCAAACTGACTTTTCTAGGGCATATTAGAAAATGGTATACTTAAAAGATTTTAATTAATTTTAAAGTATTTTCTCCTGGCCACTGACAGCCTTTGACCAAAAGTATCTCCTTGTATTGTTTTCAAGAGGCTTAAGTTTGATGAGAGTAATTAAATGAGCATTCACTGATAAGCACCTGCTCCAATTACACATGAAAAAATGAAGTTATACAGATAAAGAACAGATAAAGATAGTTAAGGAAGTAGAAAAAAAACAAGAAATTATGACAGGAAGTTCAGTATCTTTGAAAACTTAAATGAACAAGATCTAATCAAAACATTTTGTATTGTCAAGCACAGAAAGGAAGAAAGAAGAAAAAAAGGTTCTTATAGAAAAATAATGTTTGAGAGGCTAACTTACCATATTTGTCTCGCAAACCAACTGTACACCTGAAGACTCCACCAAAGGCTACATCTTCACCAAATATTACTGAAAAATGGTAAGAGAGGACTAAAGTGAACCAAATGCAACTTATTTTTAAGATGTTTCTTGATTAAAATTTTTTATACATACTAAACACAGTAAACAAAAAGAGCATCTAACATGATTGATTTGACTTCAGTATTTATCTAGATCTGAGTGCTTCAATTGCACATAACAAAATGAGAATCACACTTAATAAAGAATCAGTAGAACAACACAACTATGTCTCAAAACAAAACTAATTTAWCCGTACCTTAATTAAATTACCTATTTATTTTTCTGAAATACTCTGTATCACCATAACTTCTAACTAAAAGCAATTTAAGCAACAATTACATGCAGTCACTTAAGAGTCATTGATACCAAATGATCTGCTCCGAATATATGGAATGTCTATATTTAATTTTTCTAAAGTAGTTTTACTGTTATACAAACATTGCACATTCCATTATTTTAAAGCATACAAGTTAGCAACTTTCATGAACTGCATCAGTTCTGAGGATTATCAAATTCCTCAACACTCTCCCAAAATCCAAAGGACACGAAACAGAATTATTTCCCTTGCAAACAAACATCATTTTTATTGAAAGAAAAATACATCTCTAATAGGAAGTAAATGGGATTAAATTCACTTTTGATAATCAGGTTTATCATATTGTTTAAACAAAAAAAAACTTGCATAATGATGTAAGTCAGTACACTCATCATGTTTATGATAGAAGTACATCTCCAGATCATCGCCCTACTAATTCATTTTTATCATTAATTTGTTTGCATTTTTTAATACTTAAAATCTTTGTAAGGCCTTTCCATTACCATAYGGCTAGTTACATTAGAGCCAGCTGGCATAAAAAGCATCCCCTTTCATGCTGCCATCAGCAAACTTCCATGGACTTACTCATTCTTTTCAGCCACTGAGTATATTTTCCTGGACTGATTCTAAAATTCTCATCAACACAAGGATAAGGTTTTCCATTATTTAAACAAGTGTTGCTCAAKTCCCATAGGGCTAAAAACATATGAAGGGCATGCCTGCTGTTGCAAGAAGTACTAATGAATTCAGTAAGCAGGCTCATATTCACAGACCTGGGCTTCAGAGCTGTAACAGGATCTCGCAAAGTCCTTTGCACAGATCCTTTTGTCCTGCAAAGCTACGRACCAAGACTGGAACCAAAACACCTAGAACACAGCTGACATGGTAGGCAATTACAGCTTAGATCCCATAATCCATTAATAATTTGTTAATAATAAAACTACACATTTTTAATTTTAAATAAACATTTTAAAGTTTCTTCAAAACTCAATAAAACTATAGAAATAATACTAGAAGTTTAGGGGGCTACAGCAAACACTTTTAATGTTGTACACAAATGAGCAAGACGGAGCACCACTATATCCGCCAGTTGTAGGATACCTGCAGTAGGATCTTTGGCTAAAGTGTTATCCAAGGCACTCGTTATTGACTGGAAGAGGTTCATCTTCTGAGTTTGCCCTGCAGGAAAGGGATTTCAAAAGTCAAAAACACATCAAAAAGCACTGGAAGAAAACATCTTACTACAAAGTTAGCCCGCAGCTAAATCTCTATTAAGAGTCTCCCATTGACTCATTTGCTCAGTCCCTTGCAGGTATGGGATGGAGTGCACTGTATTTTGCCATTTCGAGGACTGCAATTCTGTTCAACACTCAAGACTTTCTTCAAAAACTGCTCACGGCCGCAGCAAACGCAGCAGCTCTCTGAACTGCAGTTTGAATGTGGCCAAAGCATCAAACCCACGTTCCAAATAACAAGGAAACACAGTAGGTGCTGAACAGCTGCTTACAAAGGATAAAGTAAATGCGTACGAATGCCGTGGAAAAGAAAATCTCCAAACCACGACCCACTAGCTGTTCTCCCTTTTTCATCTCCAGTGCTGCATKGCCAGAAAATGGGCCTAAAAATCAAAGATTGGAGAGGGCAACAGCTCTGTCACTGCTGTTGTGACCAACTCTTACTCTGCAAGCAACTGAAACATTCCCTTGTTCAACCTGATCAAATTAGATTACCTGGATGATTACCTGGAGATTACCTGGATGATTACCTGGAGATTACCTGGATTATATTTGGTGGCAATTACTTGACAAAACCTGTGTTCAGATCATGAGCGAGCCCCGCCTAAAAGACTATTAAGTATTTTGTTCAAGAGCTATGGAGGCTAGCAGGTATTTAGGTGAAGATCTCAGGCAGAGGTGGGAGCAGGATTTGGAAACCAGGGAGCACCATTTGCTCTCCAGCATTCAGAGCCTCCCTCAAGGCTCCTCCGCGCTCTCAGACACCGCTATCAGCACCAGTGCATTTTGCCAGACCCATGTCAGGCTGCTGCACCAGAGCTGGGCAGCTCAACCAACGTGCTCAGGAGCTTCCCGTGTTTAATGTTTTGTGGCCTTTTAAGGAAGGATGCTACAAATGGAACTGCCACAAGGACTGTCCGTATTACACGAAAGCTCCAAATACCTGGTATTTGCAAATTCAGCGGAGGGGAAGCAGAACAGCTAATGTTTCCCTTTCCCCAGCCATCCACTGAAGCATTCAGGTTACCCTTTCAACCAGATGCCTCCGGTATTTGGTAAGAATAACCCCCCATCACTACAGCAACTGCTGGAAACTCTTGACACCATCCCCATCTGCTGCAGGAACCGCTATCAGTCCCTGCAGGACAAGGGGAACTCGCTGCAACCTTCAGATTTGAGCGGTGGTGCTGGTGATTCAGCAGCATCGTCGTGAGCAGGGCTCTGCTGCGCCTGCCCCTCGCAGAGCTCCAACGCACACTGCGGGTGAAGGGAAGCCGTGGTCTGTCAACGGGGGCAGAGCCRGGCCTGCCCCACGAGGCTTCCTCGGGACAGCCCCACGCGGGACTGGGGCACTGGGGCTTTGCCCCACAGCCTGCCCAGCGCCCGCCCTTCTCGGCAGCCTGAGTTTTAGGGGCTGGGGTGACCCAGAACTGCCTTCCACCCCAGAGCAAGGTACCAAGGCAGGGCTGTCTGTGCTCGCTGGGAGGTCCATGGGCTGAGAGGGCCTCAGCACCAGCTCGGGACACTGACCATCGCCCCGGCTCCTTCCCGGGCCGGGGGCACGGACCGTCGCCCCGGCTCCTTCCCAGGGCACCCGTGCAGCCCCAACCCGCTGCTCCCGGCCCGGCCGGACAGCAGCCCTACGGAGCACGGGCCCCAGTGAGCGCGGCCGCTCGGAGCTACCGGGCAAGTCGCCCGCGGGGGCGGCGGCTCCGACGCGTCGCTACCGGCCCGGCTGCCCGGGGCCAACTTCGCCCCGGGCCCGCGGCGGCCCGGGCGGCTGCTCGGCCGTGCGCAAGGCGGCGCGGAGCGCGGCGGCTCCCGCTCTCACCGTACGCGCTGGGGGGAGGGTCCGGCTGGAAAGCGAAATGGGCCGCGCGGCGGCGGGGCGCGGGCGGCGGCAGCCGCAGCCGCCCCCCGAGGTCGAGGGCGCCCCGGGCGCGCGCCCCCCTCAGCGCCAGCGCCGCCATGGCCGCCGCCATGGCCGCCGCTCCCGCGCCGCCGCGCGCCCCGGCGGGGCGGGCGCGCCGACCGCCTTGCCCATTGGCCCGCAGCCGGGGTACAGCGGGCCAATCAGAAGCCGTGCTTCGGGGGGTGGGGATGGGGCGGCGTGAACGTGCGCGGAGCCGCCGGGAGGCAGCGGCGGGGCGCGGCAGCGACCGGTGCGTCGGCAGTTAAGCGTCGTTGTGTGCGTTGGGGTTTCCGTTAGCGTTTGCATTTCTGTACCCAAGCTGTCTTRCGTACAAATGGCTCCTTGTTATTTCTAACAAGTGTTATTTCTTACCAAGTGTCTCTGTTTGCCTGTAGGTGTGTTTGCCTGCCCCTGAAGAACRGAAGGACACGACACAGTGAACAAAGCATACCCTCACACTTGGACAGATGAGAAAAATCACACTTGAGCAGTTTGGAGCATCGATAACATACATCAAGGACTTCCTAAACGATACCCCCACACTTGGACAGTTTGGGAAAAAATTTCAAAGAGTAAGATAAAGAAGCAGGTGTTGGACAAGAATCAGCCAATCCCRAAACAACAAAACAGTATATACCCTTATACGGAAGGATTAATGATTGTGTAACCCTACCTTAAAAAATGTATAAGAACCTCTCACGCGGATGCCTCAACGTCCCTGGCAAGACTCCCTTCAAGGGTGAGCCTTGGACCCCAGCTAGCTGATAATAAAGATATCTCTCTTACATGGGTCTCTCTCTGCCTTTGTCTGTCCGAGGTATGAGGGGCATACCTAACACCCCCAGGCCCTCAGTTCCTTAAAGCAGGAAAATAGGGATTACCGGGGTTGGATATGGTTTTAGTTTGCTCCAACTGCAAAACTTTAAACTGAAAACAAAAGTAGGAATTAGAATGATATAAACGTGGCCAGCCTTGGTGGCACCTGCAGAGACAGATGAAAAACATGCCTGGAAATGAGGCTGTCCACTTAAATTACTACCTTTTGTGTATAAAACATATTTTATCCACCTGGCCTTTGGAAGCTGCATGGGGATTAAAAAATGGAACTGAGTACTCAGATTTGTCCAAAGTACTTCAGTTGATGAGTGTTTTAAAGGCAAAGAGTCCAGACTTTCATATCTTAACAGCTCTGATGATAGGGTAGTTACTATATCCACATCCTGATGTGTTATGATAGTCCAACAACTTTAATTACATTTTGCAGACAGCTTTCTCATTTGGAAGCCCTTCTCTCATTTAGGGACACTTCTACTAAATCTACACACCAGATTTTAAGAGCTGAAATCAGCTACATTCCCCATCTGTGTGCATTAGTCACTGTGTGCATCCCTAGTGTTGTTGACAACCATTTAAAAACTCTGGGACTCATTAATACTATTTCTGAATAATCATGGAAAGCAATTAATGAGTATCTGAAAAGACTGATGATGACTGCAGACCTTACAGATAGGAACTGGATTATGCGCTTGTTTGTGCCAGCATTAATCAGATGCAACTCGCTGAAGTCCACAGAGCTACTTCTGACTGACACAGATCTAATTGTGAGCATGTGGCCCCATGTCTTTAATTCCGCTCCAGCATCTCTCAGAATTTGGCCATGGCCTGTAACTSAGCCTTAGGCTCCTTCTGAGCTTGTCACATTTCCCAGCATGTGGTGTTTTATTTATACCACACCTCTCTGGCTGATGAGGCCTCCAGGTGATTTCTCTTGCATTGCTTTGAGTGTAGTTTTACTGCTCTTACCCTATAAATTCTGTTGTGCTRTAGTGTTGTGCTAAGTTCTCCTCASTGCATAATGGTTCATTGCAGCACACTCCCCATATTAAAAGTCAATCCGCTAATGAGCACCCTTATTATAGTGCTGTGTCGTGGCCCTGCTGCTGAAGTAGGGGCTCCATGAATGGCCTATTTTGCAGGTTAGTGCTAAAGATCAATAAGATCTTTATATCTTATTTAGATCAATATTTAAAATCTTTTAGATTTTGATCAAGATTAGACAATCTGCAACCAGTTAAGTGGGGATCTACCAGATGTCAGGGGAAAAAAACAATATGGAAAAATAGCCTTCAAGCAGCTCAYGTTTGGAGGGGCAGTTTTGTACCACTTGCAGGAGAGTCGGGGAGCATCCAGTAACTTCTGCATTACCAGCCTCTGGGTCAAGATGGTGCTTCCAGGCTAGGCTAGTAACTATGCATTTATTTCCCAATTATTTTTTAGACTTTTAACCAATTTGCCAGAATGATCACACCCAAATTAAAGGCAATCATATCTTAAAATGATGCAAATAATTATTCACGTTGACTATTAAGTGAAGCAATTTTAGAAACAGGAGGAGCTGTCAGCAGAGACATTACTCAACTTTCTTTAAAAGATCTTGGTGTTTCATAATTTCTGGAGGAGAATTCCACTCCTTTGTTTAATTTGATCATCTCTAATTGCTTTGGAACTGCAATGCATTTTTAACTTTTATTTGCTGCTGTGCTTTCAGCCCGGTATAGAAATCCTTGTACAGGGAAGAGATCTCTGATCATTCATAGTTCATAATTCTAATATTGAAAATGCATAGTGAAATCCAATTAATATGCAAAGAAAAGGAGCATATTTTTATCCTGAGGATAATCAAATGTTCAAACAATTTACCTGAGAACATGCTGGATTCTCATTGCCTCATTTCTTCAAATAAACATAYACTATAGCTCCAATAGAACTTGTGATCTTGATCTTGAAATTAGTGGTTGTGGTCATGCTGAAATAATCTTGTTATTACTGTATTCCACTTCTAAATTGTTTGTTTTTCATCACTAACAAGAAGACATTGCTATCTAACAGATGGAAGAAGGGATGCCAGAAACCTCAGTCAGATGCAGAAAAGATCTGAGAGCTCAATCTTTGATACCATTTAACTAACGCTATAGGCTGTGTTTTAAAAGCGAATATAGAGGAGTCCTGCGGTTAGAGTTCAGGATTATTGATTAAAAAAAACGCGTCCTGCAGCTCATATGTAAAATGTACTGGGGTGCCTTTTTGATACTCTGATAGTACACTACTGTATATTGGGCAGTTCTGATCCCTGATTATAATAGTAATTTCCAGTAATTTGCAGTACAGTGATAAAGGGCAAATAGAAGGTGCKGTGGCTCCACTTGAGGCTGGGACCAGAGGGGGCCTGCTGGCCAGAGCCTCCTTGTTTCCCAATACTCTCTTTTMTCCCCAGAGCACAGTGCAGTGTTCATGTCTGTCCGAATGAGCTACCTTCATGAAGCATTCCTTAATATGTTACATAAAATTCTATATTGCTGTTGCTATAATTACTGGAGGACTATGTACTAATTTCTGAGTGATAACATTATCTTCAGTAAAATAATAATAAAGTGAAGCCTGTCTTACCACATGTACAGGTCAAAGGGTGTCACAAAAGGAAAGGAAAGGAAAATGCACTGCTCCCAGATCACCTTTCTTTCCAAAGATAGGTCTCTATTCAGTTACTTGGCTTTAGATAGTGGACAGGTAATCCAAAGAAACTACYTTCTGATGGCACGTGTTTCCCACAGCTCTCTGCGGTGTTGCTCTCTAGCCCTGGTGGGTCCAGCTCCAGGCAGAACTGCACAAAGAACCACGACCCACTGGTTTAACTAAGTGTCACAGGTTTAACTAAGTGTTCAGAGTTCCAGGTCACCTTGCCGTGGGCTGAGCTTGTGCTACTGATTAGAGTGAGAACTGTGATCAGTTATAAAAGCAGTAAATCTACCCACATAATATTAGTAATAATGACTGTAAGTTGAACATCYGGAATTTGCACTCTTCCAGGAATGTGGAGCAGTCATAGTCCTGATCTAAAACTGCAACATTTTAGCTATGGGCCATCAATTTCTGTTCATCAATTGTCCGTTTGTTGAACCTGTGTCGGTGGCCAGATGAGCAGTATTGCACRAGGCAGTACCCAGACCCACACTTCATTGCTCTCAAACATGATACAATCGGACTTAGTCCAAGAAGAATGGAACTATATCCCATACTTTCAGAGTATAAATAATCAAAGCTATTCAAAAACAGATTGTATTCCAAGGACCTCATCGATACTAACTTTGTAAAAGCAAAACCTTTTACTCAGCTGTTAGTTCTCCAAAATTTAGTCCAGATTGCGTGATTCTGTTTCCACRTTTCTATCCCATCTAGTTTGATGACTATTGCAGTTGAGCTATTTCCCTAGGTTAATTTTTGAAGATGTGGGCTGTTGATCCTRTTCAAATTCTTATATTGCAGACAGTGTGGCACTGACAGCTACAAAACTGCAGTCTTTCAGAAGACTGTATTCTTTCTTTCTTTCTTTCTTTTCCCCTGCATTCAGTGCATTTTTCAGCCAAGCAAAAATAGTGTAGATGCATTTTTATTTTTAGCATACAATGAGTCGACATTCCTGTGCACTGCTTTTGCTAAGGCTTTCATCGACCTCCAAATCCCGTGGTTATCACTCAGTGCAGGAATGCTCAGCACATGGTGCCGTTCAGGTGACTGAGAAGACATCGAAGTTTGATTCTGCTTTTGTTCCTCATCCTGAAAAACAGCTTGAGGGCAGAAGTGCCGCGTGTTGATTCATTCAGTGTTTATATTACTGCTTCACAAGTAGGTATATGAAAAACCTTTGCCTAAATTTAGATTATATTAACAGAATCTCCCTCAGCGTGTTTTTCAGAAGCACCATCTCTCTCGTGAACCTATAGGCAGCAAGGGCATTTAATTCAGGACAGCCTCACTCATACTCAATATTTAGACTAAATTAGGCAGAGTGGCTCTCACAGCCTATAGTTATTCACACTTTCATCCATGACTTTTCTTTGTATTCAAATAAATATATTAATTAAGTCTACTAGAAGTAGCGTAACTTAAGAATTGTCTTACTGATTTGTCATTTTCCAGCTACACCGTTAGGTGGCAGAGAATAGTAAAGGTTTATTTAATGAAAATTAATGCATACAATATGTTGAGATGCAGATCTGTCATATTCTCTCCACCCTATGTGAAACAGATTTATTTCCCGCTGTGAGCTGTCAGGAGCTTTGTCTGGTTATTTATTAAATGACTTAMCAACAGCATTCACCACTTTCATCRGGTCTGCTTTAGATTTCATTTCTGTGCAACCCTGTTGCCAAATAAGAGAAAAAAACATATCCATTGACCTGGGAGTTGTTCTGTTCTGAACCTGGCATCTCACATCACTGTGGCTCTGAATCCTGACATTTCAGAGGATGGAAGGCAGGTGCACCACTTTTGAGAGCAAATAAGCCACACTTTGATTACTTACCCTGAATTTAACTGAACCAAATGAGTGCAGCTGGTGCATGGCCAGTGCCACTGTTACTGTTTTGCTAAGATTCAGATGTTAGTGATATACTGTGGGATTGATCTGCCCCAACTAAAGTTACCCAGAAGTTAGGCATCTAGCCTAACAGGCAGTCTCAGATGGCTGGCAAGATCCCTCAGCTCCCTAGTGCTGAGACACAGGCACCCTGAAAAGACTCTTTGCCCTGCCAGTTTTGTTACTGATAATAGTATGTTTGGAAGGGATCTTTTTTAGTTTGTTTTTTTGCTTTGTCTAAACCCAGCTAAGAATAATGGACTTCTGCATTATATATATACATTATATATATACAACAGATTTGGGGTGGGAGGGTTAGATATCAAAGCTGGCAGACAAGTGAGTATATGTGAACATACAGGGAATTTACAGAGCCAGCAGCTTCTGTGTCTGTAAACCTSAATGACCACTGATTTTAGGTGCGCAGTGATATCTGAGGGCGAGAGGGTGGGTAACGGCAGCTGCAGAGGAAGGTTTAGCTGCCTGACACCTCCCAGGGTAACTGGGAGATCAATTCCACTGCTGGTGACTGTAGGAGCTAAGGGTGCTCTGACTGTAGGAGCTAAGGGTGCTCGTGCTCACGTTTCTCAGAGATGCAGAATTCAGCCCTGGGGGGAGTCAGCCTGGAGAGGTTTTGCCTTATTTGCTAGAACCCTCTTCTGGTGCTCTTGGCGGGAGCTGTGCCACAGATTGTCACATGCCTTAGCCTGGGTAGTCCCGCCGTAGGTTTTTTCCATGTGTTTATGTTATAGATGCATTGCCAAAGAAAAAAAAAAAAGTAATATTTCCATATAATCTGATACTGCWGCAGTTTGCCATACCAGTTTTGTTAAGCTAAATTTTGAAAGAAAAAGAGGGAAAAAAGCTCAGGAAAGGTTTTTATTAACATGGACTTCTCGGAACTCCAGAAGAAATTCAGCTCAGTGTAGTTTTAACGTGAGTGAGACAGTAGAGAGACTGGAAGCCATTACTGAGTGAAGACACGTAGGGGCAGTGCACAGAGGGTTTGTTCYCTGCTGGGCAATCACGTCTGGAAGACAGGAGTTGTTTTTTAGCCCAGTTCAGACAAGCAACAAAGCTGTCGGTGCAGCTCAGGGCAGGCCACTCATCAGTGCAGTTGTGAGGGCTCCCCCAAGGACTTGGAGCAGTCAAGGAGCAATGCACAGCAAGGGGCAGTGCAGGCTGTGTGTACATTTTAATTTGCCCCTTGAGTTTGTGACTCTACACTTGGACCTCMCATGAAGAGATCTGCCTTTGAAAATACTGATTTTGCTGTTAATGCTCTCACCAGGTTTTGTTCTGACTAGCTTCATGTCTAAGAGTACATCAGTTAATGCTGCTGACTGAGTCTGGGCGGACTGGATTCACTTGTCTTTGTAGAAAAGGGAAATAACATTATCAGCAGCAGCCCGACGCTGGGACACATATCATGTCGAAGTGACGGCAGTAACGATACTCTCTGAGGTGTCATTCCCAGATCTACCTGCATGAACCCTGTTTCTGTCCCTGCAGACCTGTAGTAATCCGGGTTCTGCTGTGTTGGTTCTGCAGGTGTGACCTTGGGAATGTCCCCTCCCCTGCACAGCCACAACTCGCGCAGCGCAGGCCATTCTTTGTCCTAAGCAAGGCAGGGAGACCTGAAGGAAAAAAAACAGAAATTTGTAAACATATCGTTAAAAGAACTTACGGTATCATTCAGGAGAAAACTGGAGTAAGGTTTCACAAGCAAATTCAATTTACTTTTCCACCTTTAATTTTGAAAACATAGGTTTCTTCTAATGCTCTGAAACTATTGTGATACAGTGTTTTGGAAAACACCTCAACACCTGCAAGAGGAGAGCAGTCGGTGCGTGAAAACCCTACCTGTGTCATCAGTGAGACTAAACTTTTTAGCACGTGCCCACCAGCTCTCACACTAACTGGTAGCAATACTGTCATCTCCCAGAAAAGATCCTAGAGATCTTTTAATATATAACTTATTTATTTATATGAACATCTGTCTTTTTGACTGACATTCTTTGCAAATCCTTTGAACATCCATCTCTCTGTGTATATGTGTTGATACATGTATATAAATATATGAGATTTTGTTATGACTTTAGCCTGTCTTTCTAAGGAAACAGTGATTAAATTATCGTACTCTCTGTTTTCCTGTCTGCCTACCTTTTTGTCAGTCCCCATTTGGTGAATTTGAGCCAAACGATTAGCCCTTGCCAAACAAAATTGTTTGACCTTCTGCTGGAAAACTCCGAGATGATGAAATTCCTGCAGGTTTCATGAAAACCATTGAATGGGTGAGGAGAGAGATACAGATTCCTGACTTTGCTGCAGCTGAAGTATCAGCTCAACAGTTGTTGTTGTTCTGATGCCCGAGCAGGCAGCACACCTGCAGCGGGGAGTCAGCCCCACACGTGCTGCCTCGCCTGCAGCCAGACCCATAGGAGACCGTGGGCTGCCGTGGGGCTCAGCCTCACTGTCCCGACGTGGAGACATGGAACGGTTGCAGGAGAGCTGGGAACAGATTGCGCACATCTGTAGGAAACTGTGTTTCATCCTTTCTGCTGTCCAAGGAACAACATCTACCATCTGTTTGGAGGGAAGCTGGGGYGACTGCAGAAGGATACAGGGCGAGCTGCAGGGCAAAGGTCTTAGATCTGTAGGAAGCCGGGCTGCTTTAGTTGTGCTACTCATGCAATGATACTGGAGCTTTCAGACTTTGTTAGTCCCATCCTGGAAACAGTCACCAACAATGGCTTTTGCCTATGCAAGGGAATTTTGWGTTTTATTGTTTGGGTCTTGGTCAGGGAATGATTCTGTGAATAGAGGGAGTGCCCAAAGTTTAATGCCAGGTTTAGAAAGGAAACCTGACTGGAGGGGAGGCAGGAAGGGAGATCTCCAGCAATCACAGCCAAGGACTGGAGTTTTCAGTGAAAGGAAAAGGAGGATTAGGGAATGGCATCCCAAGAAGAGGAAGAATTTATCCTTACCAGTCATAAGCCTTTTATATAGCTATTTATCTTCAGTTGGCAGTAAGCTGAATAAAATTTACCACTGCCCCTYTTCCTGAAAACAAAAAACTTCTGTTAAGCCCCAAACACATACGATAGTTCTAAGCACTTAGAAAAATGCTCAGTAGAAATAATATGGTTGAATTTAGCATAGCTACAGGTGATGAAGGGCCCCTTGGGCAGACTTTGGATATGGTAGACTGAAGCTTTCTGAAAATACAGTTTCATGAAATGCTAGATTTCACAGTGTTTAATTTTATATTTTACATGATCATATATTAATACAAAAAGAAATAAATATGTCCTACAAAGATACATCAATGATTTCTTTAAAATACATTTAAATTTAATGCTGGTAAAAGTCTCTCATCTCTTCGGAATTAGGTATTTGAGGTCACCTGTTTTCAAAGCCAGTCTGGCTTAATATGTAGGACTTGTAAAAGTAATTCATTTATGGTGACATCTCCCAGGATGGAGCTGAAGAAGAGCTCTTCAATAGCACCCGCCTCAACGTCGTGGAGAGAGGTGAGTAGCTGCAGAATCCACGCAAACCTGCCCAGGCGGCTGCGGAACATCAGTGAGATGAAGTCCATCAGAGCCTCCTGAGCCTCCTGCTGCAGGGTCTGTACATAGGGAAGACATTTCAGGACATGCCGTCCTGTCAAAACACAAAGTAAAATAAGGAATCTTGAGTAAACATGCCTGTCCTGTGCCMTTTGTGATGATGGATGGGTGGCTCTCTAGCTTACAGTGAGTAGTTCTTTTCTCTAGAAAAACAACAAAAGCTTACTAATGTACTTTCTGGAAAAAGAAGATAGACTTAGCTCAATAATGAGAGTAAACACTGAGCAGCACTGTAAGCAAGTTGGAGTGCAGCCCCTCATATTGAATCCTCCTGTTGTCTGAGCTTTCTAGGCTGGACTGAGGCTTTGTGGTGACCCCCCGAGCTGCCTGGGTGCCTCCACTGCAGTCTGAACTAAGGCTGGAGACACTCTGATATAGATGGTTCCAAGTGTTAGAATTATCCCAGAAAAGAAGCTGTCAAGATTTTGTATGTTCAAGATGAAATTGAAATTGGTTATATCCCCTCAAATTTGCTTGAACTTCCCATTTGGTCCCCTTTTAGATAATCCACTGTGCTTTTATTTGCAAGTAATAGGCAAGCTCTTGTGCTATGATCTTTCGCACTAGTAGTCAAATATAAATGTTCTCCTGAAGAGCATCCTTTGTAACAGAAACTCAGTCTCAGCCCTGAAGGGGTTCTAGATGGCACTGATGTAATAACATCCGCTATTTTCACTGCGCCCGTCACTTCACTGTGTAATGACAGTAGTTTTGCAGGCCCCTGCTAAAAGCAACAGGAGCCAATTTACAGAATCACAGAATGGTTGAGGTTGGAAGGGGCCTCTAGAGATCATCCAGTCCCACCCCCATGCTCCAGCAGGGACACCCAGAGCACGGGGCACAGAGCGGCATCCAGGCGGGTTGGGAAGAGCTCCAGAGAAGGAGACTCCACAGCCTCCCTGGGCAGCCCTTGCCAGGGCTCTGGCACCCTCACAGGAAACAAGTTCTTCCTCACATGGAGATGGAACTGCCTGTGTTGCACCTTACACCCACTGCCCCTTGTCCTGTCACTGGCCACCACTGAGAAGAGTTTGGCCCCTTTCTCCCTRCAGAAGGGAACTGCACCCAATACTCCAGGTAAGGCCTCACCAGAGCTGAGGAGAGGGGCAGGATCCCCTTCCTTGACCTGCTGACATCCTCCTGATGCAGCCAGGATCCCATTGGCCTTCTTGGTCATTTCACCTCATTCTTGGTGCTGTTCATGCACGATATCACAGTCCTACCTAGCCCTTCCTTTCGCATGGTACTTGAATTCTAGAGGAAGCCTTGCAGCTGGGCTCCTTCCCCACTCCTACCCTACCTCTCAGAGGTAATCCCAGCTAAAGCACCCTGGGAAGAGCAGGCATGGCTCTGGGCCCTAGAATTTATCGCAGATTTTGCCTGCCTCTGAAGGACCGTGCACCCTTTCTCATGCACAGATGCTTCCTGGCCCAGATGGACTGTGAAAAGTCAGTACCATGTGCTGCCTGCCTACCTGTCATGCTGCCTYCAGAGGAGAGTCCTAGGGAATTGCTTAGGGCACAAAGAAAGCCCTGCTGTGCTTGTTTATCATGCTCCAGGCCTAACCACGTGCCTCACTGTGCTTCTGCATTTCTAGATGCCTTGTTGACCTCTCACTCATGACCCACATCTGCAGGGCTCCAGGCCTTCTCCTTTCCCTCACCCAGTTTTGATGGTCCTGATAGTGTTTAAAACATTCAGATAAGAGCTCATGCAAGTTATTCCATGATCCAGGGAAAGAGTAAAGATTGTCGCTGCCAGAGCTTGCCTGAAGTCTGCTGAGACCAAGGCCTGCAAAATATTAAAATTTGGCCAAACATCAAAACAGAACTAAGAGGCCATCTGAAAATGTGTCTGCATAGATGTAGAAAACATTTTCTGAGTTTGGTGGAAAGCATTTAAAAACCATTAAAAATAATCTGTGAAATGATAGTTCTACAAATTAATTAGCAGCAAAATTGGTACAGAAAGAAGCCTGGGCTTTTTATAAACCCTGAGTATGTATTTTAGTATAGAGTTTAAACTGTGGCCTTTTGTTTCATGTAGAATGAAGCCAGGCTGAACAGAAGTCTCGTAGCCTCCTCTTGGAAGCTGTGGAGAAAGACACTTGGAGAGTGTTCGCTAGTAAAACTGTATGAGCCACTGCAAATGATGGATTTATCTTCTCACTGCATTTGGCTAAAACTGATTATTTCTTTCAGCCAGATTTTATTGCGAAAAACAAGAAATTGCACTGGAACAAATAGCACTGGTTTGATGCTATACCATAGACACACAAGACAATACAAATTGTCTGGATGACCTTGCGTCTTAAGAACCAAATTGGAAACAAATATAAAGCCACAACAGCCTTTGAGGAGCTTGTAAACTACTCACCACAAGAACTATCATGGAATATCTGAAGCTTTCAAATATCCTTTTGGTGTAGCCCCAACTGTCACACACTGCTGACAGCGCAGCCAACTGCAATGATTGCAGTGGAAGGAGTCAGGGATTTGAGCCAAAGAGGACTGGAGTCATTAAGTCTTTCCATTTACTTTAGTGGACTTAGAGCTTGGCTTTTAATGACTCATTCGCTCTGTCGTGCTGACCTAGGCAACCTTCCTTCCTAAAATGCTAAACTTGGCACCAGAAGTGAAAGGATGTAATCACTTGTCTGTGTCCGTCTCATGACTGCTTTTCCAGGCTTTGAATATAAAGATACCAAAAGGATACATCAAAGGAGCAATAAAAGAAAAGAAATCTCAGCTCGGCATAATTCTGCATCATTAATGATAATCAGACGATATGGATTGTGTTACCTTCTCCAGTGCTCTGCCTACAGAGGATGCCTTGTTAAAATAGTTCTAATATTCACATCACCGTCTTGGCTTCTCTGTGTTACAGATGAGGCAGCTGAATTACCTTTTAATTGAAAACCCGCTTGAAGTGACACCGTTAATTCCATATGACTTGGAATCTGTCTAGCAGAATCTGTCCTGGCTGACAGTGGGTAACCTCCTACACACATTCAAGCGACCTAAGTGTACAACTTCAGGAAGACAGTGATCAAATTATGGAATATCAATTTTGAAAATATATAGTGACATTTATAGAAATGACTAAAAATGAACAATTTTCTATATGCAAAATGCCAAATGTCCTTTCAGACACATATCCAGCTGTGATCTTTCCAGGAAAACTTACCAGAATTAAAAAGAATAATTCCTTTAAGGTAGGCATATTCTCTGGCACTTAGGTCCAGGTCCCATAATTTCCACAATAAATTCTTCATCTTCTGAACTGCTGCTAGAGGTGCTCCAAGTGAGGAACTGCCTGGTTCATCACGAGCTGTAGGAGATTGATTGAGGAGAATTTTTTTCAACAAACTAGGGGCCGAAATCTCTCTCAGCTCAAAATCCACCCCTTCTTGTGCCAGTCCCAGGACAAAAAGAGGGGCCCAGTTCTGCTGTATGAGGGCGGCCTGATCCTCCCAAGGCACGTGATAAAAGGAAGGCAAGTTCCTGATAAAAGCTGAGGTCTTCAGGAGCACTTCAGAAGCTCTTCTGCAGGTGACTTCTGGCATTTTCAGGACAACTCTCCTGCCATCCGCGCAGGGGCAGCTGCCGCTCCCTGCGGAGCGGTTTGGTGGGTGCTGCTGTAGATGCCGCTGGCTCTCGCGTGGATGCTCCCTGTGGAGGATCTCRTGCAGGGTGCCCTTGGTGTGCTGTATGTCACACAGACCATTCCCAGATTTCCCGGCCACCTGACTAGCCATGGGGCCGAAGGCTTCCTGTGGGATGCCCCAACAGTGGGAGGGAAGCGCAGGCTCGGAACTGCGCTCTGCTCGCGGAGGAGAGCGTGTCTGGCAGGCGAGGAGGCACCCGTGCTTTATATATCCACCCTCAGCGGAGCAGCAACGTGACCCTGCTCTGTAAAGCTGCCTTGAACTCTCTTTGCTCCTGTCTGCCAACACCTGTGGCCAGAGGAGGCGGAGCTGCCGGCACCTCCATGCCCTGTGTCCCTGAGGAGAACGCGCCAGGCTCGGCAGCCGCCCTCAGCATGCACTGCGCTCCCTGCACGGCCCGTGTCCCATCCCAGCGGGATACCGCCCACAGCCTGCCCTGGAGGGGAGACACGGGAACACGAGGGTGCRAGGAGAGAAGCAGCAGCGAGCCCTGAGTGTTTTACTGGTACACAGGCCTTGGCCACCAGCTGAAAGGAACCCCCTKAAGACCCTGTGCATGTGCACAAGGCCTTGAAAGAATCTTGAGTCTTCAATGAATCAAGAAATTGGTATTTTGGGGTTGTTACATGGCGCTCTCTTGCCTACTCTTACATGGAATGAGAGATACTCTTTTTTTTTCACCAAGCATTAAGTTTGTAGTTTCCTAGTATCTGGGAACTTAGGGTTTCTTAAAGGATGACAAACATTAAAATCAACAGCCCCAAGAGCCACATCTCTTTGATCTCCATTCCTTCTTAGGTGTGTAAAGGCCATCCCATCATACACCRTAACGGCAAATTTGGCATCTGTTAGAACAGTTTATCTTTTCCACRCTGGTCAGTTTAAAACTTCCTGTTTATAACAGCCCCAGGATATTTGTGTCGCAAAATTTCCCCTTCTGAGAAGAAAAAAGTGAAAGGAAGGAAGACCTCTCCAAAGTCCAGAAATCCAGAAGCTTCAAAGTGCAACTATCACCTTCTTCAGTGGAGGTCACTGGACACCCAGCAGGATTTGCTAGCCCATCTCTCCAGCTGTCGGATAGCTCTCTGCTCTTGTTTATCACTGTGGGATCCAAGAGCSTCTCAGGTTAAACAGTTCAGCAACAGACAAATCCTCAGACTGGTCACCAGTGACCAGTGTTATTTTATAATTTAGAAAGGGGAACGAGCTCTTGTAACTTACAACCAGTGCCTTCAATAACTGCAAAGGGAAGATTGCTCTAACCTTCTGAAATCAGCACCACTTCCCAGTTGACGAGCATTTTGTCAACAGCAAATCATTTCATAATTCCTCCTAATTTTGTTTGTTAAAGTTGTACCCCAGATTAAATTAAATCTTTTCCTAATTTTCATATATATCTGCATTAGACAAAAGAAGAGAGTCCTCAGGGCAGTAGTATATAATACTGGATACCATTTCTGTTCATCAGAATTGATTTCCTTTCATAGTGGGTAATGCTGAGATGCAGAGTYAAATGAAATTTTTATAACTGGAGTTCTCAGTATATGTTAATTGCTTTATGATTGTTTACCAAAAATACAGAGGAAAGGTGACTGCCTCAGGATAACTGGTAAAGATGCATCATCTGCTTTTTCTCTGAAAAGGATTACTTAAAAATTTAAATGAATGTTAAATTGCAATTGAAACTGAGTCTAGTAGTCCTAATTTTCAAAATTGTTTAAAATTTCATCCAATTTTCTCAAATAGAGAGGATCCAGCAGCTAAATTTAGCTAATTGCTTGAAAATCAGGCAATAGTTATTTTCTCTTTCTAAATCTTACCTGTAGATTAGTCTGGACAACATCTACATGTAGTTTTTAAAAAATGGAAGTCTTGTTATGGTATCTTAAAGGTATACAAGACAAAAATTTTTTAATATATGAGATTCAGATTGTCTCTTTCCCCTTGTAGCTACTTCTAGCATGATAGATTGAGTATGGCAAGGTATGGCCACATCACTATATTTTTTCTATTTTTCATTTATATACTTTATCAACCATCAAAATAAAYACAAATACTTCTACTACATTTTCTCTACAATCATCAGAACTGCTATTCAGGCACGGGTATGCCATTTAGGAAGTTAAAAAGGCCTTCTAGAGCCACACAGACAATTGCTACAGATGTTTGTGACTATTCATGCCATTGCTGGGATGTGACACTCCAAGCAAGGCAGCCACTTCCACCTTTYCCAGAGTAGTACTGTTTTGTAAATCTTTACCTTACAGGGTTAATTTTAATAGAGTTGCAGTTTAGGTGCTTCTACACGTGACACAGACTTTCTGCTCAAATCTCTGGGTTTTCCRAGTTTTCAAAAAATGCCTGATAGGTGTAAATGGTGCCAGGGATTTCCCTTGGTGGTCAGGTTCCTACCTTCTCTGACTAGTGTAGAATAAAAGTGTCAGCACAGGGGCTTCTGCCAGAGTTGCRGGATATTCAGTACCATCAAATATTCATTGCCTTATGCAGATTTAATTGCTGATGGATCCAAAAGTTTAAGGGCATGTGGTATTTTTAGCCCTTGGCCAAGCGCCTTAACCTTCCTAATAGAGTTATTTCAATGGCTTAAGACACTTGTCAAACAACAATAAGTGGTAATAGGCATCTGTGAGTGCTTCAGGAAAACTGCAAGATTTCCATTTTTTTTAGTAGTACTTTACTCATTTTCAATCATTTGTATCTAGGAACTTCGTGAGCCACAGTGGTTTTATGTGTTCACTAACTCTCAGTTCACCTCTCCTGTATGATCTCACGCAGTCTGTCTGTGGAGTCAGGTGATCTTTTAGCACGATATCTAGGAGTTGGGGAAACATGGTTTACAGTGTCAGCACAAAACTCTGTTTTGTGTCTCCCAGATATCACTCCCAAACACTGAGGTGTTGTTTCTGCATATCCATATATCACAGCCCCTAGATTTTACTCCTGATGACAATCATCAGCTCAGAGGCTCCCATTTCATGTGTGGAGATAGCTTTATCCCGTGTGCATATCTTCATGTTTACATACACTGAAATTCATCTGTCACTCTTCTGACAACCCTAATCTTACTCTGAATAACTTGGTATCAGCAGCAAGCATTCATATTCTGAAACTAAAACACACTGCTGAATCCTTTATGTTTCATAAAAAAACTACTTTTCAGAACAGTGAATCTTTTTTTTTTTAAGAATGATGTAATTTAGCTGTAGAGCAGAAAATTTGACATTGTCCTTGGATAAGAGTGGATATATACACAAGCATATACACACAAATAATGCTGGATTATATGTATGGATGCACAGTGTATATAGGAACTGGGTTACTTCTAAGAAGCGATGTAAGCTGCCCCACTTTCCTAAAAGGTGAGACTGCAGAGAGATCCATTTCTGGAAGACACAATTTTCCACAATTATTTTATAAATGCTACAAAGGGGAAACACCCTCTAAATACCACAGAGCTGTCTTTTAAGGTCACCCTGTCACACCACTCTGATACATGCAAATGTTCTTTGATGCACCGATCTCCTATCTCTCACACAGACATTTAATTGTCCTATAAACATGTGGCTGGCTTCAGAACAAGATTTGCTTTAGACGGTTTATACGTTCCRTTTCCTGGAAGGGAAACAGGGTCACTGTTATTTTCCAGGAAACCTGATTTCACTAATAGCCCCAATGATGGTGAAAAGACACAACAATTACAAACAATAACTTGCTAGAGGGTTCCCATCTGCTGCTTGTCCCATGGCATGTACCATCTTTCAAGAGCAGTAAAGGTGGCTCATTTCTCAGCTCGAAGGACCAAGAGCTCCATTTCATGCCACCTACTTTGGCTAAGCACAGAGAGGGAAGCACCATCCATGATTTGAAGCCTGCTCAGCTTCCAAGTGCAAAACTGAGGCACTGACCAAACTGAGACAAGCTCTGGAACAAGRTCTTTAACTTAGACACGTAAGCATAGCAAGCCAGTAGCTGTCCCTAACACCTGAAATGTAGAAGGGAGGTATAAGGGATATATAAATTAGAGTCCCAGTTACCCTAAGCATATCTTTAGCATTACTTTGAAAGTCAGTGGATCTTCTAAAGTGAATCAAGTTAAGCATATACTTGAAATATTTTGCTAGATTAGGTCTGGAATAATCAGCATCTTCTTGAATGCAGGCAATAGAGTACAATGTTAAATTAATGGAGAGGTAGCTGCTGTGAGCGGCCCTTCTTTGAAACATAATGTATTGCTGACACCAGGCCTGGTTTGCCTCTGAAGCCAAAGTTAGAGAAAAGCATTTGACCAAAGCACTGCAGTGAAATAGGAGCCCTGAAGTTCCCCCTTCCCAAAAGCCAAGCCCGGCTTGCATTTTCCTTCACTCGTTCTGCTGTCCGTGATGGCCAGGCACACTGCAGCAGTGGAGCACGTGCCCTTCTGGCAGGTATCTATCACTGGCTGAAGAAAGGAGGGTGTTTGTTGGAGTTTCTCGAATGGAGCCGTTTTTTTGTTATGAACTTTATGCAGCCTGACTGTTTTAAATGTGAGCACCAGCAGGTGCCATTTGAAGCTGTATCCAAATCCAAGACTGAATTACAGGATTGTTAGTCCAGACTGTTAGTACAGGACGTAAGGCATCAGCCCCGTAACGCTCCTCTCAGAGAGCACTCGTCTTCTTCACTTCGCAGCCTCCCATGAAGCTAAAGCAACACCGTCCATGTGTGCAGATACATAAATAAACCCCCAAAGCCCTTCTTGGTTGTCTAAAACCAACAAACCGCCCTAGCTGGGTAGACAACAATGGCTGGTCGCACAAATGCCATCGATGTCCTTTCTGTGGGGAGTTCTCCGGGGGGAGGTTGAACATCACCTCCCACCAACCTAGTGTTTGAGTCGTCTTTGTGGGCGACCCTCCCACACGTGCCCGTTCTGGCACTGTGGGCTGGCGGCAGAGCTGCGCAGGCCGCACGGGCCCTGCTGCTGCTCGGCTCTTTCTGCCCCGGGTGAAGTCCACGTGGAGGCTTGTGCTAGGCAGTCTGTGGAAAGGGGCACGAGTGGATTTCAAGCTGCCCATCACAAATCAGTTTTT